TCGTGTAGGAGCCCACGTGGCATTTATTTTTGGTCTATCGCAACTTGTTGTGGTCCCACACAAAATCGCTTTCCAACGAGCATCGAGATTCTTCCTTTTAATCCGACGTGTATTAGCATTTTTTTTTTATCAAGGAATTCATCGTGACCGTTGATTTCGTTTATCGACCAACGTAGATAACCGTTGGATCATGCGTGCGATATCCATTTCGTTGTGGGACCCATTTGATGAAGTGGTTTCACTAACCTTTTTTTTTTCTTCAGTGGATAACTAAATTCATTCGCTTAAAAGATGAAGGGTGTTTCTGTCCTGATTGTATAAATTCATATACATTATTTTTTCCACGAGCTATATAAATTTTATATATATATATATATATATATATCTTCTTCACCAACATTTTCGGCGTTAGGGTTCGACCTTTAGCTACCAATGTTAAATTTTAATAATTTCGACCATAAAATAAAATAAAAACTCAAAAAATCATATCCTCATTTATCTCCGGTCCATGATTTCCCCATTCAATCATGAAGCCAGATCGATATCTAAAAAAAAAATATATGGTATAATTTCTATTTGACTTTGTATTGAGATTTGGAGACGTAAGAGTGTCACAACGATGTACAATACTTTTTGCGTATATGGATTGCGACGTTGTATATTAAAAAAAATAAATACAGAGTTCTAATCTAATAAAAAAAAATATCTGTATACAATTTTATAATATATATGTAAAAATGAAGAAAAAAAGTTATCTGGGGAGTTATAAAAACCCGAGAAGGGGAGAGCAAAGCATAGATATTGTTACCTAAAATGTGTGTGGTAGTCGGTCCAATGTGGTTGTTTTCTCTTGTGTGTATGATCTCTTTATAAATATGAACATCATCATCATCTGTATCTATTGTCGTGTGATATATTATGATCCATATAGACCACATTTCCAATACCAAGTTTCGTACTTCACTTCTATTCTCCAATTCCCACAAACCCAACTCGTTCACTTTGCCCTTTCCCCACAAATTATTTTCTAAAATTCATGCTATATATATATATATCCTTATTATATAACCATGCTTGATATATATTATCGATGATCAATATATAACATAATTTTCTTTCAATAGAATTTTTAACATCTTAAACAATCGAATTACTGTATGATAAGAAAATAAGATCCAAATAATATGTGTGAGATCGGGCAATCTTTAAAAAAATTCATCAATATTTAGTCCGTAAAAGTGTTTTTTAAATTCTGTATATTATTAGTTTAGGGAAATTTCTTTATACTTTATATCTTTAAAAATAACAAAATCTCTAAAAAAATTACAAATAATCGTTGGGCTATGCTGAGAAAAAATATCGGTGGAACTTCCACTGTGGGCATTCGATTCGGGTATTTCGGTTATTAATCGAACCGACCGATATATACCCGAACCGAACCGAACCGAATAAAATTAAATAACCGTTTGGTTATGATTTTTTAAAACCCAAAATAACCGAACCCGAACCGATTAAAAATTATTAACTGTTTGGTTATAAATTTTTATAAACCGAATTAACCAAACCCGAACCGAACTGAACCGAAACGTTTATATATCTTCATTTATATATATTTATATACATATATAAATGTTTATATTCTTGATTTAATCATTGTTTTATTATGTTTTAAACGCATTTTATCATTGTTATTATTGTTTTTAAAGTTTGTGTGATATAAATATTAGAAAAAAACGATATTTATTTATTTAATAATTTTATATTAAAATATAAATTTAGATATTATTATTTTATATGTTAAAATAATTATGATAATATTTTATATTATATTTTATTTGAATATTTTTAATTATAAATGAATTGATTTTTTAAATATTATAATCGAACAGAAACTGAACCGAACCGAATCTTTATTTGGTTATAATTTGATTATAGTTTTAAATAGACAAAACCGAACCGAACCGAACCGAATAAAATTAATTAACCGTTTGGTTATGAGTTTTAATAACCCGAAATAATCGAACCCAAAATAACCGTAACCGATTAACCCGTAACCGACCGTTCGCCTACCCCTACGTGGAACTGTGTGGTTCATTAGACAAACAATTTCCATTAGGGTAGAAATATATATATATATAGTGTGTGTGTGCGCGCGCGCGCGCCAAAAAAAACACCGTCGTACAATGTTTATTTATGAAATAACCCATTCAAAAAGGTTATATACATAGTTATCTATATATTGAACTTGTTCAAAAAAACAAAATAAGTATAGCCTTTTTTTTTTACCATAAAGAACAATGAATTTTAGTCTTTGTCCAAATTGTAACGTACCACATTTTTTCTTCCGAGGCATGTGACTTTTCTTACCGGTCAAAAGCAATTACGTGTGCGAGCAGAAGCATTATTATGAATTATGGTCAGACATTATCATCAAACATTGGACGAATCATTCCTTGTAACAAAAAATAAAATAAATTCAAAAAAAAAATATAGGCTATAACCAAACATTGTTCATTTTAGCTATTTGCGTTATGTCCAAAATTCCCGTCTCACCAAACCGTATATGCATATACATATATACACGAGTTGGTCAACTTCCTTTTTTTTTTTTTTATTGAACCGACTTCGTGTATCCCTTAATCTGGCCATTCGCATTAACTCGATATAAACACGTTACACATTATCAACAATATTATTTCCGAAGTTTGGATCGTTTTCACCAACTATATATATATATATATATATATATATAATTTCATGATAACTAAATTTTAATTGATTAGTGATTCCCAGTGGGACCAATGTAAGATATACACCCGATTAGAATTATTTAATTACTATTAACCACGTTGGTAGATTACAAGTTGAAGAAATTTATATTTATGAGGTATTTCACATTCAATAGTCCAATTAAATGTTTCAATAACTAAATATATTTATAAAAAAAAATACAAGGGCGTTTTTTGTAAGTTGAGAAAAATTGTATGAGGCTTCACCTAGTTAAGGTTAGGTCACATGACTGTCCAAACTCAAAAAAAGAAAATACAAAAAGAAAAGTCAGGTGGATTTTATCGGACCTCTCCCAGCCAACACAGTGTCGACACGTGTCCTTCCTCATTCATTGTCATACCGTTCTGTTCCGGGTTCCCATCACATCTCATCGTCGCTTCTCCGCCGTCCGATCTCGCATTTTCTCGTCGCTGCGTACGGATAACATTTTCGTATTTTAGGGTAAACTAGTTAAATCCTTATCTACGGCGCATTAACAAAAGCGGTGTACTTTTAAAATGTTAATATCCATGCTAAAAACATTAGGGGTTTCATTCATATATATATGAGTTTTACGATTCCCTTGGAATTTATGAAGACTGCCAAATTAGCAAGGCGAGAAAATCTCTAACTTTCTATAAATGGAAAGCATCATATATAATAAAACACAAATGAAACTAAAACCACAAGTAGTGCAGTGGATGGTGAGTGTGGAACCATATTTCTCTTTCTAATTATGTATAAACAAAACTGTCCCAATCGAATATTAGACCAATCCTACGCATTTATGTTTCCTAATCGTATTCACAACAATAATCACACATTTTTTGTATATTCAAAACAATATAAGAGTATCAGATATATACACACAAATATACGTAAATATCTTCAGAAGTCACAAGATATCCTGCAGTACACAATTATTGGGTCGTATACATATATGCATATTAGGGTATAGTATCTGAGAGAGTATATAAAAGAGAGAAGAAAAACAAGATTTATGAAAGATTCTATAGTATGAAGCTGACATATAATGTACTTGAGGAGGCTGTGATGTACAAATGCATATGTACACTTAGGAAAAAAAAAAGATTAAGATAAAACACAAAAGAAACTCCGCATGGAAAATAAGAGAAATGGGAAAAGGAGTGGCTGCAAAACAAGGAATCTTATATATATAGAATTGCAAACGTTCCTATAGAGAGAGAGACAGAGAGAGAGAGAGAGAGAGAGAGAGAGAGAGGGAGGGCATTTTACTTCAGAAACAAGTTGTGAGTTCAGAATCAGAAGGAAGAGAAAAAAAAATGGGAAGAGGTCGTGTTGAGTTGAAGAGGATAGAGAACAAGATCAATAGGCAAGTGACCTTTGCGAAGAGAAGGAATGGTCTGTTGAAGAAAGCGTATGAGCTCTCAGTTCTCTGCGATGCAGAGGTTGCTCTCATCATCTTCTCAAATAGAGGAAAGCTGTACGAGTTTTGCAGCAGCTCAAGGTATATACATATATTATATACACACACACACACGCATACATGTGCATGTATCAGCAAGACGTGTGTGGATGTGATGTGGTGTACCGTACGTTCTCTCTGCAACCATAAAAAAAAAAGAGGTGAGAGGGGAGAGAACAAAAAAAGAAAGGAGATGGATTGGGGAAACCCCCATTTTTGAGAATTGAAAGTACAAGAAGAAAAACTTTGTTGAAAAAGAATCTTCCCTTTTGGTGATCTGGGTTTCTGTTTTTCTTGATTTAGGGTTCATGGGTTAATGTGTTTTGGGGAGATGGAAAATAAAGTTGATCCATTTTTTTTGTTGTTGGTATAGCTGTTTGGGGAGGGTTTTTTATTGCCGTTTTGGTGAATGTCTCGGCGTTTTTAGCAGTTTTTTTTGTGTGTTTGTGTTAGATCTGCAACTGGAAAAACAATTTCATAAAAAAATTTGATCAAATTAATAAACTTCATAAAAACAATTAAAAAAAAAGGAAGAAGAAGAAAAGATCACTATGCTGATCAGCTTTGCATTTTTTTTTTTGTTTGACAATCTGAAATGCTTCCAGATTTGTTTAATTATCTTGAGGTTTAGAAAGTTATCTGTTTTCTAATCCTTCCTGGTTCAATGAAAGCTGATTTGGAGCTTTGCTATAAATTAGAAGAAGCTTGTTGCAGCATCTGTGTTCGTCTTCTTTGAGGGAAAAAAAGTTTTTTTTTTTTAAATTCTCCAAGCAAAGTTTCCATCTTTTGTTTTTGGGTTTGGTCTTCCGGTCTTGGATGTTGCTTTGTTACTCGAGAATGGTGAGTGATCATCAGATTCAGTCTCCAGCAAATCTGGTGAGTTGGAGGATTTCCGTAAATTCCGTTGAAGTAAAAATTAGGGTTTCTCTTAAGGACGGTGAGTGATCAGATTGATTCAGTTTCCAGCAAATCTGGTGAGATGAATTTCTGTAAATTCTCTTCAAGTAAAATTAGGGTTTCTCTTGTAAAGCTTCCACCTTTTGATTTTCATTCAGTCCGGTTCTTGTTCTTCACCCTTGATTAAATTAGGGATTTGCAGTTTCTTGAATAAACCCTCTCTCTCTCTTTCTCTCTCTCAAATCAAATCAGTCAATTTTTCTGGCATCAGACGCTGAGATCTCTCCAAAATCTTCTCTCCTTCTTCTGATGAACTAGGGTTTGGTGTTTCCACAGCTACCACTAACCCTAGCTTTTCCATTTTGGTTTGACATTGACATCAATATGTCAAACAATTTTTCTCCAGACCAATCTAATACCCGGAGGATATCTACTTGTCAAGTTCGGATTCATCACCCATGTTTCTTGATTTTTATTTTGTTTTGTTTTTGCATCTGGGTTTTCTAACTCTCATATCTGTTCTTTGGAAGGCTCTTAGATTTTCCTTCTCCAAAAGTTCACTGGGAGGCTAAAAAAAGGGATGGATTGGTTAATCACTTGAGTGATTGAGATATACACAAACTCTTGACCATTGATGAACTTCAATAACCTAATCCTCCAATAAGTTCTTGTGAATGGCGACTTAATCAGTTGATTTGTTGCAGCATGCTCAAAACCCTCGAGAGGTACCAGAAATGCAGCTATGGAGCCCCTGAGCCCAATGTGCCTTCAAGAGAGGCCTTAGAAGTTGTACACCTTCTTCTTCTTCTTCTTCTTCTTCTCCTTCTTTATCAAATCCCTCAAAAGAGTTTATTTAGAGCCATAAATGTGCTATAGATTCATCTAAATTTTGGATCAAATGTATGATGCTTTCAGGAGCTGAGCAGCCAGCAGGAGTACCTGAAGCTTAAGCAGCGTTTCGACGCCTTACAGAGAACCCAAAGGTGACTCATGACTTCTCATCACAGAGACTGACTTTTCGGATTGGACCGACTCTTATATATGATATTTTTCGGCAATGGGGATGAAATAGGAACTTATTAGGAGAAGATCTTGGCCCTCTTAACACTAAGGAGCTTGAGGCACTTGAGAGGCAGCTTGATTCTTCCTTGAAGCAGATTCGAGCTCTCAGGGTACTTTTGATTGGTTTTTATTGAAGCACAACCATTAGATTTTGATTTTGCGAGCTCTCTAACCACGATTGTGAATACGTTGATTCACTACCCGAATATATATATGCAGACTCAGTACATGCTCGACCAGCGCAACGAACTTCAACGTAAGGTAAAAAAACAACACAAAAGGATTAGAGAATTATACCCCTTTCGATTTCGCTCCAACTAACCGATGATCTCCTCTCGAGCAGGAACAAATGCTTACCGAGACGAACAAAGCATTGAGGATAAGGGTATGTTTCTTTCATCAATCCATGCTCAAGTATACACATAGATTCTTGTTCAAAGATTCTGTTTTGACGATGATTAATCTCATATCATAAACATCGGGTATATGTATGTATGTATATATGTACGTGCAGTTATCAGAAGGGTATCAGATGCCATTGCAGCTTAACCCTCACCCCGAAGAAATCGGCTATGGCCGCCAACCACAGCACGACGCCTTCTTCCACCCCTTGGATTCTGAGCCTATCCTCCAAATCGGGTAAACCTTATAGCTCTCTCTCATGCTCAAACATGACATAGTTTATGATGTCAAAAACATGTTTAATGTATATTTGCCATATATATTGGTGATGCATTACTATATAAAAGATGAATATTGTGAAAGCTTTTGTATTTAAAAAAAAAAAAATCTTTGGTTGAATTTGGTATGTACGTAGGTACCAACAGCAGCAAGATGTGATGAATGCAGCAGCAGCAGCAGGTGCAGGGCCGAGCGTGAATAACTATATGCTTGGTTGGTTACCTTATGACAACAATTGAAATTGTGTCAAATGAGGGCTTTTTTAATTGTTTATAACATTTTTAATTAAAAGTGTTACACTTTTAATTAATTTTCTTGGGGGTTTAAAATCTTTTAAAAAAAACATCGGTCCAATCTCCTGTTGGTGGGTCGATATCTGTTTTGTGTTCGAGCTTCCATATTTGTGTGCGTGTGTGTGTGTAATGTAATGCATAAGCTGTTTTTTTTTTCTGCTTCGTTGTTTAATGTCTCAACAATAATACTATATTTTTGTTTTGTATCTTTTTTTTCCCTTACATGAACTTGATCAATAACATTAATTAGGGGTAAAACTATTATACATTCCATGTTTAATACTATATTATCGTTGTTTTATTTTTGATTCACGAGACTACTTATTTAATTTAGAAAATTTGTAAATCGAATTGAGTCAAAGTTTTTCTAACTCGTTTGAAAATGAATTGGCAAACCGAATCCAAAATGAGCTGACTCGTCACGAATCAGTCTGAATCGACTCTTTTGACATCCTAAATTACTCTGCCATGTTTTATTTGTCTTTTTGTATGTTTGTATATGGTGGAATATAGTAATAAACTAATATTGTTTCAAAATTATATATATATATATATATATATATGTCAAAACTTTAAATTTCAATATTTATATAAGGTTACCACCTACAAACACGGTTTCTTTCAAATTTTAAAGTTGATTATACGTATTATTACAGTTTTTATATATATTAAAGGAATTTAAAAATAAATAATTTGTTTATAAAATAAAAATAACGTCAAAATTTGAAAATCATATCAACATATCGTATATAATTACAAAATTTACATTTTTTTTAATCTTATTAAAAGTTTATATTCGTGGAAGTATGATCAAATCTATGAAAAACAAACTAGGTTTACCTATTTCTAGAGCACTGGCAGATCCCATTAGGTTCAGAACTCTCAAGTTTGTGAGGTGGCCCAACACATCCACTGCTATCCCTATGGGCCGCTCATAAGCCCATTTATCTTTTCGGGCCGATATTCCTCTAATTAATTATTTGCTCGTGTTTTTGTTCTGTTGGCTTTAACTGCACGAACCATATCAACCACTGATCTTATCCTGAACAGCACGGTGCAACAAATCATGTGGGCTTTTTGTGCACATATCGGACTAAGGGGTTAAAATCGAATATTCAAAAAGTTACGAGATTATGGACCTGACTGATTGTATCGCAGCGATTGCGGTTGTGGGTGATAGCGTTTTCAGAATGTTTGGTAGCGATTGTGGATGGTTGGTACTGAATGGTTGGTAAGTGACTGGTGGTGGCGATTGCGGTTGACTGCGAGTAAAAGTGAATGGTTGTAAACGATTGTAGTTGCGTTTTGATATAAATTACCAAAAATGATATTATTTTAAAATATTTTTTTTAAATTAATCGTAATTAATATGTTTCACACCTCGTTAATCAATTCAATTGAAACACTTTGGTAAATAAACAGTCCCACAAGACAATCAAACAAGGACAAGCCCTTTATCATCACTTTATAGGTAATGACATCTCGTTCAGGTATTTCACCGAACACATTCAGGACATGATAGAGATTGCCATTATCCAACAAACTTCATTCTACAATACAAACATGAATATCAATCATCTTGAGGAAGAAGGTAACAAGGAGCCACACAAAGATAAATTTTAGATTGAAGGTTTGTTGGGTTTTAGGCCTCATGTTTGATTTCGGATAGAGAAAATACGATAAAATCTGATCTAAATCTGATCACTGATGAAGAAAAAAAAAACAGAACCCATTACTTGTTTGTTTTGGATATTGGTAGAATCTCGTCAGTTCCTTGTTCTTGAATCGAAGATGATGAACAATGTTTTGATTCACACAAAATCCGAAGAAACCAAAAAAGAGGAAAGGTAATAAAATAAAACAGAGACACACCTGAAGACGACAGAGATGATGAGTTCCGATAAGCTCCGACGAAGAAAAACCATAATCGAATAATACAGAAGAGAGGGTTTGATGAGATGAAGATGGGGGATTTCAAGCGAGAGAGCATGAAGAGAGTTTTAGTTTTTTTTTTTAATTTGTTATAAGGATATTTTGGTCATTTGATTTAAACGCATGGAAATGCTACCGAAACGCATCCAAAAGGCAGCGTTTTGATTTTTGAAGTTTGACTGCGGTAGCGTTTGGCGGTTTGACCAATCAGTTTCGCAACCGCCACCAACCGCCAGAAATCGCAACCGCTCTGTTTGCGGTTGGTGGCGTTGCAACTAGTCACTCATCGGACATATAAGAAAAATAAATGGAGAGACATATAAGTTCACAAAAGAACCACACAATTCACGTTATATGGAACTGAGTCACATGGACCCCACATCCTCTACAAATTGCCTCCAAGAGATCGTGTGTCCTCCTCACTCGACATTTATTAGTTGTGGGCGTTTCGGTATGGTTCCTTACACCGTATCATTTAAATTTTTTGAACGTTGTGTTTTTTATACAATTGAATTTTGTAAGATCGAATCGAATTGAAACGAGCTTTATAAGATTTCTGATAAACCGATTTTTTTTAAATAAAATATAATTTTTTTAACAAAAATTAAAACTGAATCATATCGCAATCGGAACTGAACCGAATATAATAATATATGGTACTAATTTGGTATAAATTTTATAATAACGAATAAACCGTTTTCGAACTGAACCGCTTCATTGATCATGATATAATTAAATAGTCAGGTATTAAACAGATACTTTGTTGATATATCAGAACATATTTTTCAAATAAAAATAATTGATGTCATTAACGGATTTTGGGTTTATTTAGAAGTTTTTAAAAAGTCGAGGTATTTATGTAGGATTTTAGAAAAATTCATGTATTTAGAAAATTTTATAGTCTAGGTATTTATGTAAGATTTTTGTAAAAGTTTAGATATTTATATGCCATTTTTCCTAAATTTTTTAATTTAATTAATTTTGAAAATCTTACTAGATAACTTGAGTGATTATCCATTTTGTTTCATCGAAAAAGATATATTTCAAAGGGTTAATCCCATATTCCCCCACAAATTTTCAAAAAAGTTCCAATTTACTACACCAATTTTTAATTTGACAAAAAACTACACCGGATTTCAAATATTTCCAAATTTCCACATAAAATCTTAAAATGTGTTGCAATTTCCCCCATATCCGTAAACGACGTTAAGTTCCGTCAATTTTGATACTGACAGGCATGCCATGTCATTAAGATTCGCCAAATCATCACATTTCGCCACATCATCCAACCACATCAGAAAATAAATAAAAAATAAAATAAAAATAAAAAATTTCTAGAATTTTTTTAAAAACTAATAAAAAAATAAAAAAATACAGAATTTCAATTTTATTTTTTAAAAATAAAATAGAAAATTATATATACGTATATACACATTTTTATATCTATATACAATTATATACATATGTATATGTACATATTCATATATATACATATATATCTATACAGACATTGAATATGTATATATACGTAAATATGAATGTATATATGTATAAATGTATATATATATATATACATATTCATATGCATATACATATATATATACACATTTATACATACATACATATATACATATTCAATGCATATATGGATATATATGTATATATATGAATATGTATATATACATATGTGAATATATATATATATATATATATTATTTATGTGTATATATGTATATGTATATAATTATGTATGTAGATGTATATATGTGTGTATATGTATATGTATATAATTGTGTATAGATATAAAAGTTGTATATATATAATATGTAATTTTTTATTTTATTTAAAAAAAAATTTAAAATTCTGTAATTTTTTAAAAGTGTTTTAAAAAATATTTCATTTTATTAGTTTTTTTAAAAAATTCTGGAAATTTTTTATTTTATTTTATTTTTTACTTATTTTCTGACGTGGCAGGATGATGTGGCGAAATGTGATGATTTGGCGTCTGTATGACGTGACATGCCACGTCAGCATCAAAATTGACGGAACTTAACGTCGTTTACGAATATGGAGGAAATTGCAACACATTTTAAGATTTTGTGTGAAAATTTGGAAATATTTGAAATTGAAACTTTTTCGAAATTAAAAATTGGTGTAGGAAATTGAAACTTTTTGTCAAATTAAAAATTGGTGTAGGAAATTGAAACTTTTTCGAAAATTTGTGGGGGAATATGGGATTAACCCTATTTCAAATGATTATAAATGAAGTTATTATGGATAGATTTTAAAAAATAAAAAAATATAGAATTCAATTATTGGACTAAATAGTTTTATAACAATATATATTTATTAATTTGTTTTATGTTTATATATATATTTAATAATTATTGCTCCCATTAAAAAATCTTTGTAGTTCTGCCACTGCCATTACGTGTACCTTATACATAGTGTAGTAAAAAGTTATTCGGTCGCTTAGTTGATATATCATATTAGGATGCATCTGTATATGATTAAACTATTACTAATTTTTAGACATAAAAATTAATTTAAAAAAATAGGGGACAAATATAATTATGAAAAAATCCGTAGATTATTATGATAAAAATTAGAAGATTAATATATGAATTTTTCAAAATTTTCTAAATAAATTCTCAATTTTGTTTTTTGTCTTTTAAAATCTGAACTCTAATGTTCATAAATAAATAAATCTGAACTTTGCAAATCACATCAAATTTAACTCTATACATTGATATAACAACCTGAAAGATGACATGGTAATTTTGAATATGTGTACGTGGTATATGACATGTTAATGTTTTGTCAAAGTCAAAATTATCACGTCATCGTTCGAATTGACATGTCAGCGTTTAATATTAAATTTCACATGATTTATAAAGTTCAAGTTTATTTAAGTATGATTATCAAAGTTTGAGTTTTAAAAGATAAAAATTAAAGTTTAGATTAATATTTTGAAACATGGAAAATAACCTAAAACTACAAATATTTTGAAACGGAGGGAGTATAATTTTTTGAATGTTCTCCATATTTCTTGCTATATATATATAGAGAGAGACAGAAATGAATTGAAGTAAAAATTTAAGTTGACTCAGGTTTTAATTATTAGGTCGATCATCTACACCCTATAAACCTGCACGGGCATAATTTGCATTAGCAACTGTTTTAGACACGGCTTAATTAGAGATTAGGGTTTAGAAGATTTTTTTTTTGATTAAAATGTGAATCGTATTAATTATATCAAAACTTTACAGATCAGTTTTTGTTCGAAAATA